CCAGCTCTGGTCTGTCTGTTACTGGAAAAGCATGGACATATTGGAATGAGTACAGCAAGAGACCACAAAAATGACCAAAGCAACTGGAGCATCTGTTGTGCAAGGGAAGGCCAAGATAAATGGGGATTCTCAAGAAGAAAAGGCTCAGAGCAAGCCTTACTAATATATTATTTATACAATAAATGGCCAATCTCTTCGCGAACGAAGAACCGGGGAAGGTCTTTACACCTTCCAGCCTGCGCATTGGATTTTTTAGGTGAGACACAGTGTGCGCGGAACTGAGCCCACCCTTTAATCCTGAGGTTCATCTGCCGGGGCCAAGCATGCTTGGACGGTGGCAGCGAGGTCCTCAGGACGTAGATGGATTGCCTTACAGGGCTAACGAGCTCCATCTGCCTGGGGAGGGGCCCCGACCGGGAATCGAACCCAGGCCTCTGCAGTGACAGTGCAGTGTCTTTTCCCCTAGACCACCGGGGGCTCCCATTTATACAATACCTGATAAGGGAAAGGAGGAAGTCTGGCTCTTCTCAGTGGTGGTCGCTAAAGGGAAATGGTTACAACTTAAAACACAGAAAACTTCATTCAAATGCTATAAAAAAACTATTTTGCAAGGATGGTCAAAGAGGGGAACAGGTTGTGCTTGGAGCTTGTGTAGTTTGTATACCTCTATCCCTGAGATATTCCAAACCAGCTGGACATGACCCTTAGCAGTCTCTGTTTCCCCTGCTCTGAGCCGAAGGACTGGACTAGTCAGTCTCCAGAGGTGCTGTCCAGCCTTAGCTATCCTGTGAGTCTGTCAGAATATGCTATCTGGAGAAGCAAGTACTTGGTGTGAACAGAAATGGTAAGCATTTAAAACACTGCTTTGATAGTATCTATATGAACTGCATTATACACATGCTGTAGCTCTCCAAGACATTTTAAATATTAAGAATGTAGTTGCATTCCTTCTGCAGTAATTTTTTTTGTTCATTATGTCATGCACTGGAAGCTCTTCTACTTTATAAGCAGAAATTAATACAATTAAACTTCTTATATACTGGAAGTTCTTAAAGCTTCCATTCAGCACCCCTAAGGGAAGTTGTCTTTACCAGAAGTTGACCTGGAAGTTTGCTCATGTGTTCTAGAGAGGAGCCAGGCTCATGTACTATGACTATTTTGTCTGTTCTAAATATATTAGATCATGCTCAAGAATACTGGTTATTCTTTCTCACAAGATAAAAATGGACTAATAATTCCTAGCTAGCAATCATTTTAAGTAAAAGGATGTGGCTCTGTATTTATTCAGAATTTTTAGTAAGTATTGGCTGTATTATATGAAACCAGCTACCCTATGAGATAGAACATTTATTTGAAATTGTTATACTGTGTAGCAGACTCAACCTGTTGAGTCTTGATGCGTTCTACAATGTGTAGTAAATTCCACTTGAGCCTTGTTTGGTGATTATGATCAAGATGCAGTCAAAAGAAGCTTCACTGGATGGCATGCTTTAGAAAATGGAGTCATATTTTCTATGTGACTGTCTTATTTATCACCATACAGGGCCTTGTTTGTGCATTCTGAGAGCTTTAAGTCTTTTCTTTTTTCAGGTAGAGGCTAGAAGTGTTCCTAATTCATAACGAAAATTAATAGATTAAAATGCCCATATGCAGGTCTATAGGCACGCAGACTATATTAATATTCTAAATGGCTGAAGTCCTGTTAAAATACCTAGAAATACGATTATGGACCATGCATTCAATGTCAGTATTGAGAAATCTGCTTTTTATTTTTTCCCCTGAGTTCTTATATTTTTAGTATCACATAAGCAATTAAACAAACAACAAAAAAAGGCAATGCTATTGCTCTCTCCACCTTCGTAAAACCCAAACCACACATTTTTACCATGTTTTATATTCTAACAAGACCAACTGAGAGGGGTGTAAACAAGTGTATCTTTTTCAGAAGCATCTAATAATAGCAGTGAATTCTAGTAATAATAATCCTCCGCGTTTCAGTGTTAAATGTTTGAAAATCCTGTGAATCATTCAGTCTCACAGCATGTGGAATAAATAGTGATGTGAGGAGATTCAAGAAAGCTTTAATAATTTTGTGTTTAGATCTGTAATGATGGCAGGGGAAGACAGCCATAGTGCGCAACCGGAGATATTTAGATACTTTGTTGTAGGCTGTTGCTAGATATGTTATCTTTCAAGGACAGAATATTTCTGCAGAGGAAAGTTGTGAAATCTGCCAGAATAAAAAGATTGGCTGAAAATGTTCAGGATCTCCAGTGTAGGGGCCTCGGTATGTGGTACCAAACACAGGCTGAAGTGTGTAGTTCC